AAATTAACCCCTTCCCTGCCAGTCGATCACTGCCTACAGCGATCAAATAGAGATCACAGTATTATACTGTGATCTAATTTTTTTTAACCCCTGAGGATTAACTTTTATTTATTTTTTTAACCCTCAGGGGTTCAATTTATTTAATTAATTAATTTAAATATTTTATAACTTATATTTTGCTAGCTGGGGTGGGTGGGTGGGAGTTATGGGAAAATGGGGAATTTACTGTTAGTGCTGCGTACTGCTAGTTAGGGGTTAACAGTAAAAAAAAAAAGCTTAGAAAAATGTTAAATCTGTAAAAAAGTTTTAAGAAAGTTTAGGAAAGTTTAAAAAAAATTTATAAGCAAAACAAAAGTTTAAAAACTAGTTTTTAAAAGTAAAAAAGTTATAAAAAGTAAAAAAATACATTTTAAAAACGCTCATTACCACTACACCTGGAACAAACTAGAGAAAAAATTATCCCACGCCAAGGTTCAAAATATGCCTTTTGAATTACCCCAGGGTGTATTCTTTAATAAATAGTATGTGTTTGTGGGGAAGTTTCAATAACCAACCGTCTAAACTACTCCAAATTGGAACATGGACACAGCGTAAAACTTCAAAGTTAGAAAAAAAACTGAATGGCTGCGTCTCAAATGCGCCCCTTCAACATCCACATATACCTGGCAAAGGTACATACGGGGGTATTGCTGTACTCAGCCGACATAGCTGAGCAACATATGAAGTATTATACAGTCGTAGCACACATAAGGTTTTGCAAAATATACTGTGCAAACTCACTTTGTATGTCAAAAAGGCAGAAAAAACGCTTATTACCACTACATCTGGTACAAGCTAGCGGAAAAATGATCCCACGCTAAGGTTCAAACTATACCTTTTGAAACACCCTGGGGTGTCTACTTTAAGAAATGGTAGGCCTTTGTGGGGTAGTTTGAATTTAAAACCTGCGAAGATGCTTGGAAATTGCACATAGGCCCAGCGTCAAAATTCAAAGTTTGGTAAAAACGGATATGGCTTGGTCTCCTATATGGCACTGTAGCTTCACAAAATAGTGACAAAGACATTCATTGGGGGTGTATTTTTACTCAAAAGACTTAGCTGAGCATAATTTGGGAGGTTTGAACTTAGTGGCACATATGAAATATACAAAACGCCCAGCAAAAATGCAATCCGTATGTAAAAAATGCACAAAATAATTTTTTACCACATACTTTGGCATATATTGGTGAAAAAATGGGGGTATGTTAAGGCACAATATGCACCTTATGAGATACCCTGGAGTGTCTACTTTTACAAATGGTAGGCCTTTGTGGGGGTTTTTTGAACAGTCAAACTGTTATAATACCCCAAATGGAAGCTAAGGCTCATTAAATCCATCTCTCAAAATTCTACTGTGAATACTGTAAAGGACAGGTCTCCTATATGGCACTGTAGCTTCACGAAATAGTGCCAAAGACATTCATATGGGGTGTCATTTTACTCAGCAGATGTAACTGAACACAAAATAAAACTTTGTACAGGAATAGCACACACCAACTTTACAAAATATACACGAGAATTTCTCTGTTATAAGTTTGTGTGCCAAAAACCAAAAAGAACACAATTTTACTCCAATATTTAGCAGAGGTTGGCGGTGAAATGGCTACGTAGAAAGTGTCAAAACAACCTTAGGTAAATAGCCCGTGATGTCTACTTTATATAAATATATACTTTTGTGTGGCAATTTTGTTTTCTTTTATGGCTATTAAGCTTACAAGACAAACATACCAAATTCTAAAATCGCTCCACATTAAAAGTTTATTTTACTCCTTGTGCTTTGTGACCTGTAACTACCAAAAAAAACTTAAAATCCCAGACACATTATATATTCTGTAAATCAGAACAAATAAATAAATTTATTTTTAATTACTTTCCTTAACCTGCACTAATTATGCACACATTATTATTGCAAAAACTGTAAAAAAAACAATATTTTTCATTTTTTTTGCATTTTTCTGTATTTTTTTTATAATAAGTAAGCATTTATATATATATATGTTATATCAAATTAAAGCCCTTTCTGTCCTTTAAAAAACAGTATATAATATGTGTCGGTGCAATAAATGAGAGAGATGCAAATTGCAGTTGAACGCAAACAGCAAGAAAATGCAAAAATTGCTTGTGTCATTAAGCGTAAGTCAAGCTTCTGAAGCTGTGTCCTTAAGGGGTTAATTAAATGTTATGTTCTATCAATCAAATTATATAGTAGTGTATGTTTTCAACTTCATAAGAAAACAATTTGGATAGGGCATTTTGTTTTAATTTCTTTAAATGTATTAATCTAAAGTTTAACTCCTCTTGCCCTTCCTACAGATAAAAAGTTCTCCCCTATGCTGTTATTCTAATACTCTAAGTTGGGTCTCACCAGTGTTCTGTACTCTCTCTTTCTACTGCTATTACCTTTTCCTATACAACCAAGCATTCTCCTTGCATTTCCTGCTGCTCTATTACATTGTATGCCTACCTTTAAGTCATCTGAAATAATTACTCCTAAATCCCTTTCCATGGCTACTTGTCAAAGCATATAATCAGCAGCTGATGGCAGAAGACACTGATAGCATAAACATGGCAATTTTAGAGGAGGAGTTAACCCTAGCAATAAAATGCAGGAGTTCTGGTCCAGGTGGCTTCCCAATTAAATATTTATAATCTCTTTGCACAAATTTTACATCCACAATACGGGAAAGCTTTTAACTCCAGCCAGGAAGAGGGTAGCATTCCTGTCCAGATTCGTTCTGCCAACATTATTATATTGCCAAGAAGAGGGCAAAGACACAGAGCAATGTGCAAATTACCAACCAATTTCACTTCTCAATTGCGACCTTCAATTATTTGTGAAAATTCATGAGCAATAAGATTACAAAAGTATCTCCCTGAATTGGTCCATACAGATCAGGTGGGCTTCATCCCACACAGAGAATCCCAGGACAACACAATATGAACTTTATCCCTCATACACTATGCTCAATTGATGTCACAGAACTTTGATCTGGTGTAATGGGACTTTCTCTTTGCCGCATTACAGAACATGGACCATACCTCAGTGGCGACTTCTGCTAATAAAAAAAATCAATGACTATCTCCATCTTGAATTCTGCTAAACATATAATTCCCATAAGTGGTGCAAGTCTGACACACAATTCATACAAATCTGGTTCTCCAGATTGAAACTGACATTTAGTGCATCAGACTTTACACAAGTGTATATGACAATTTGGACACACTGGATCACTACTACAGTAACTGCTGAATTTCAGGGATGCTTATCTGAGTCAGGGGTGAAGTTTGAGCTACCTTAATAGACAGGTTGGATTATCAGTGGGCATTTCCCACTTTCTACTTCTTCCTACTGTTCTTTCTCTTATCTGTACACTGAATTTCTCCTTATTTTCAAAAAATATTTTTCCTGGCAATTCATGGCAACACTTAATCAATAGGTTAGCTCCTCCCTCTAGCCAATAGGACAGGAAAACTAACTAAACAATTAAGAGAGAAGGTATAATGTTATTCTCATTGGCTCCTGTTCCCCAGTCTTTTTTCCTGTCCTCTTAGACTATGAAAGACAGTATTCAACTGTATATTTGTCCTATCTAAATTTGGAATGTTCAGGCCAAGAATGGGAAATTGAGGTAAAGAAGGCGTGAGGTGTTTGTTTGCAGGTGCCATTCGCTGATTCTGGCAGAATTGTGTGGGAGCATGCAGTAATAGCCCAGTTATGAATGACCCTAATTTTGACAATTTCCATGATGACGTTAAGGGCGGTCGTGACCGTTCATCACATGTGCAAAGATTTAAAGGAACTAAAAACTCTGAAAAAGTTTTCCAATTTTATTCTGCTTTGGAAACACTGTGTTTTCTGAGTGTTTTTTTTTTTTTGCTCTCAGGACTGTTTGTTAAGCTCTCTGCAGGTAAGACTTATTTTTCAATTTGCTTTTTTAGTGGCAAGTATTTAGTTAACTGCCATTTTTATTGTTTTTAGCCCATAGTCTATTATGGATCACTTTCCTATGTCTGCCAAGTCCTTCAATAGGTGAGCAATACCACTTGTTTACATGTAAAGTGTGCATTAGAGGTTACAGTCTCTTATGACTTCTGTCTTTACAGCCCTTGAGACCAATCGGGCCTTAGATCTCCATAAAGGAGAGGGGACAAGCCAGTGGCCTGTACAGGCCTTTGGGAAATTGTAGGTTTTGCAGAAAGTGCATGGCCCAAATTGCTGGTGAATCTTATCAACCTCTGCCACCCCGGGCTTTTTGGCCCAGGTGGCTTCCCAATTAAATATTTATAATCTCTTTGCCCAAATTTTACATCCACAATACGTGAAAGCTTTTAACTCCAGCCAGGAAGAGGGTAGCATTCCTGTCCAGATTATTTCTGCCAATATTATTACATTGCCAAAAAGAGGGCAAAGACACGGAGCAATGTGCAAATTACCAACAAATTTCACTTCTCAATTGCAACCTTCAATTATTTGTGAAAATCCATGAGCAATGAGATTACAAAAGGATCTCCCTGAATTGGTCCATACAGATCAGGTGGGCTTTATCCCACACAGAGAATCCCAGGTCAACGCCAACGCCGAACACAATGACCACATAAGCAATAAGCTCTGAGCATGCAGACAGCGATATAGGTATTAACACCAAGTAAACTTCAGCAAGACAACTAAAAACATACATTACCATGATGTCTCATAACAAGGGGAAAAATCATGGACATCTTTCTTTACTGCCGAATCGCAATCTAAACTGCAGGCCATGCAGAAGGGCCTACAAGATGGTGACCGCAAAATCAGTGGTTGCCGTGACTCTAGCATGACCCTGTCAGAGCCAAGGGATAGAGAGGCCTCCCAAACACCAGCGATTATTTAGAAAATGCTAAATGCCCAATCGGAACAATTCATTGCTAAGTTTAACCATCTATTTAAGACCTTAAGAAAGAGATTCCATTTGGAATCCAAGATGGACAAATTTGCTACAGTGCACAACTCAGTAGCTGACCAACTGCTCCACTTGGAGGAGCGTCTGACCAGACACGAGGTGAAATTAACAGACCTCGGAAGAGCGTTCCCGCAGGAACAATCTCAAGGGAGACCTACCAGCATACGCCACTGGCCTGTTTTGCACCTTGTGCCTGGATTTGCCAGCAGATTTATTCCTATTGGACAGAATACACCAAGTGGCAAAAGCAAGGGCCACTTGGGTTTGCACACCAAGAGATGTGCTTCTCCGTGCCCACTACCACCGCGTGCAGATCCATCTGGGAATGTTCTGTTGAATTTGCCAAGATCCAGGTATTCAACTATATATCACCAGCTACACTAGCACTCCGGCAGAGCTTTGTGCTGATCACCACGGCCCTCAGCAAACACCAAATGGCCTATAAATTGGGATTCCCCACACGCTTACTGAAATGGTCAGACCAGCCAAGTACTCACCCTGGAAGACGGCTTCTCCCTTTTGCGAATGGGGGATATACCACACGACAACCCAGCAAAGACCCTCTACAACTCGCAGCTGTTAAGTGGACTGTGCTCCCTTGTGGACATGCAAGACACCCACGATAAGCGTACAACAAAGAATACTTCTAATCTCATTCTTATAACCCATAACTTTCTAATCCATTCTAAGGCACTGATGGAGTGCAATATTTTTTCTCCCAGAGCATCTTTGGGACTAAGTTCTCTCATGGGATAACACCGTTAACCAGACAAGCCCTCCACTATGATGACTGCTGCAAGAACTGCAAAGTTGGGGACCACCTGCATCTACCAACCACACCCGGGACTTATAACCATCTCTACGGCACTATTGGAGTGCAATGTTTTCCCTCTTCGGATTACAAGAACTCTTTTTTATGAGGAGGCTTGCAACAAATTCAGGTGTTACGGGCCTACCCAAGCACACAACGGACACTGAGTGTCACATTATGTCCTGTTCTGCGGAGATGTTTGGCCATTGCTTCTGGTATCCAGTACTCTTTTTACAATTCTTGTTTAGTTTTTCTTGGTTTTTCTGGTTTTCTATTCCATGTCTGGTTTTCTTTATGCTGGGTTTTCTGGGTTCATTCCTTTATTCCGTTCCTGGAATTTCCAGTCTCTTGGATTCCTTTAAATATTTGATTTATGTTGCCACACCCTTTCCTTTTCCATTAATCCTTTTGTTTCAGTTGGTTCCTGCAGGCAGTTGCTTTAAGTCTTCTGCCCCTTTCTTGCAGGTAAGTGCTGTGTGTGTTTTATTATTGTTTATTTAGTCATGCATATCTAGGCAGATATGAACCCACCGTAATTGGAGTACTTTTCCGCAGTGGTGGGCTGCATACATCTTGGCCATTTATGTATGCCTAAATCTCCAATGTTTTTCATATATAGTACTTAGTTATGTCTCCTCTTGTTTTGCCTTGCATCTCTGCTCTTGTTTTATTTTGTCTTTTATTCCCAGTTCATGCACAGTCCTGTCCTGCCCTGTTCATGTTTCCCTCAAAGCTTGTGTACATGTTCTGCTTTCTGTCCTGCTCTGGTTCTGGGTACTCCTGGTTTTGTCTTGTTTTCTTGTTTGGTGTCTGTTCTAGTCTTGCCTTGTTTCTGTACTGGATACAGTTCCTGGGAGGTCTGCATACCATCAAGCTCCTAGCTCTTGGGTTCCGCAGAGGCTGTTATGTGGCCGCACAAATGCTGGTGCTCAACACCAGGGGGCATATGGTTACCCTGCACCAGGCCCTGATGGTCCATTACCACGCTGAGACTCCCCCCATCATCAAGCACTCAGGGGCCCTGGTCTCCGTACCACCACCTGTGACACTGAGCTTCCTGAATCAGTTTGATCCCCAACAGGTTGTAAGGAATCTGTACATACGCAGCAAACAAAATGGAGTCTTGAGTCACACCAACTGATTTGTGAGCATGTTTGATCGTGTTATTTTGTTCTCTTATGTTTATTAATCTTGTCAAGGGTTTTATTATGCCCCATGTCCTATATGTAGTCATACCCCCTTATGTTTCCAATATTGTGCCCCGCTACAAGCGGCATGCACAACATATCACCTGGTACATACCAAGACCCTAGGGACAAACACTGCGCATGTACCTTGCACTAATCCCTAGTACATGCAACACAATGTAAATATCATCCACGCTATCTCATTGTCATAGCCCGTGGCTCATGGGATTGCACCAGAGGTTCATTTAAAATGTTTAGTATGTTTTGCATGTTGTTAAAAGCACCCACAAGCTCACAGTGTGCCAGGATTTGCATACTGGATGTTTAATTCTGTTTACTTTATTATTGTTTTGTTATTAGATGCCTTGCTGAGTTGCCTGTGAGGAGTGAGCCCTGGTAGTGCACCTGCCTGTTTGGAGTACACCAGAACCCCCAAGGAAGTCTTACTCTGCACATTTGACTGTAGATCACCGGAGGGTGATCAGCCTGGTCAAGGAATGACCAGTACTATCTATTACTTTCTTACTTTTCTTCTTTACACTCTAACACTTTTTCCTACTGTTCTATACCTGCTGGGGAAATTATTGCAACAACAGGAGGTGGGAAAAGGAGGGTCTGGGGAACTCGGAAGGGTGCCCACCAATGCAACACACTACCCCAAGTATGATATTAATCTCTCACAAGGTCAAGGGGCTTAACGCTCCATTTAAAAGGCACTGTATAGGGAAATTGCTCATCTGAAAGTGGATATTATATGTTTGCAAGAAACACGTTACAGGAAACATTAACTATGCCGATTCAAAGCTACGGCAGACTCCAAAGCTAGGGGTGCATCTATTTCATTTAGCCATCAGCTGACCTTCACCCTAATTAAATATATGAATGACCCTGAAGGTAGGTTTGTGATATTGGTGGCTTCTATCAACGGGAAAAAATATACCATAGCCAACATTTACGGCCCTACTAATTGCCAGATGACCTTCCTCAAGACAGTACTAGCAAAAATAGACAAAGTCCAACAAGGCATGTTGATCCTTTGTGGTGATTTTAATTGTATGCTTAAACCCACCTTAGACTTTACATTACAAAAATCACATATTAGAGCCACACATTTCCAAGGTTGCGCAGCACCTACCCTCTCTCTTTGCATTATACAACCTATATGCTATACTAGAATAGATAGGTGTTATGTCCAAGATCAGTCACTGGAAATATAGACTGGTCCGACCATGCCCCTGTCATCTTAGATATCTCTGACACCTTTGCCATCAAAGGCAAACTGAACTGGCGATTGAACGAATCACTGCTCCAGGATACTATATTCACTGACTACCACACAAACATATAACACAAAATTTCTCCACCAACGATACAACGGACATTGCAGTTTGGCAAGCACACAAAGCAGTGACGAGGGGTCTACTAATTAAATGCGCTGCTTATGTCAAAAAAAATTCCCAACACTGCTTGCAACAGCTGACAGATACACTGAAAGACAAGATTGTATCTCTACAATCCAAGATCTCTGCAGCAAATCTGAAATGCTCCAGCTTTTATTTAAAAAAATTGAAACTCACACTGCACACAAGGCAATAAGGCCGGGAACATTCTAGCAGCCAAACTCAAAAAACAAAGGGTTCAGTCCAGGATACCCTATATAAATTCAGATCACTCAGGTAAAATCATCACACCAGCAGAGATCAGTTCAAAATGCTCATGCTTCTATAGATAATTAAATAACCTAAGGCAGGAAACCATGCCTCTGTGAAGGAGATCTCATCATATCTGAGGCCTATAGACACTCCAACACTTCCACTCAAACGACAACAAGATTTAGACACACCCTTGACCACTGAGGAGATCTCAGAAGCAATAGACAGTCTCCCCCTAACAAAGCACATCATCCTACCCCACCTCCTCCGACTGTTTAATGAAACAGTAACAAATTCCAGACTACAAAAAGGCATGCTGGCAATGACTGTAATCACCCTTCCAAAACTGGGTAAGCCTACAACCAGCTGCAAAAACTTTAGGCCAATATCACTGCTAAACTCCGACGCCAAACTCTTTGCAAAACCTATAGCTTAAAGACTCAAAGCAGGGTTTGTGAGGGGTGTCAGGGGACTGACAACACCAGGAAAGTGTTGGATATTATGTACGTGATGCACAAGAACATTATGGAAGAAGTTATGATCTCCCTTAATGCAGAGAAAGCTTTTCATCCCCTCTGCTGGAATTTTTTGGAGGCAGTGCTACATAAATTCCAGTTTCCTCAAATGTTCCTGTTAGCAGTCAGTGCTCTCTATAACCTTCCAACAACCCAGGTGTCATACAGTGGCTTCATGTCGGAACCTTTTAGCATAACAAATGGGACTCGCCAAGTATGTCTCCTATAGCCCCTTCTATATGTCCTGGCACTAGAGCCACTTGCTATAAAAATAAGAGCAGACACGAGGATCTCGGGCATCCTAATAGGCGACACAAACTGAGCTTATTCCCTGATGACATACTTTTGACAGTCACACAACTTTTGATATCAATCCCTGCCCTCATGTCGACACATCAAGACTATGGTAAACATTCATACTACAAACTCAACACGACAGAGACCAAAGCGATGCTTATACACTTAGACACACAGACGATACAAACTCTGAAGCAGATATACCAATACACAAGATATAATATCTTGTGTACCTTGGGGTGCGACTCACGAAAAATCTTCAGGACCTTTTTACAGCCAACTATAGGTTGCTAGCCAACTCACTGAGATCTGATCTGGAAAAATGTCAGGACAAGAATATTACATGGTTCGGTCGAATTGCAGCATTTAAGATGATGCTTCTCCTGAAGCTGCAGTTTATTTTCTGATCCATACCTATAGGCCACCCAGCTACATTCCGACTCAAGCTACAAAAAAAAGTAGATCGATTTATAAACGCACGACTGCACGGAAATTGCTTGATGGGTGTATGGGAAACCCCAACCTACAGCTTTACTACGGTGCCACTGTACTGAGCCAAGCAATCTCAGCCATGGATAATACAATACCACCACAATGAGTGGAGTTTGAATCTAGATGATCATGGTCATGGTCATTACCAGAAGGTGTACAATCTCTATTGTGGCTACCTAAACACCTAAGACCCCACACACTTGACATTTTCCCTAATACCAAGCTCATGTTACACATATGGAACAAATACAAATTGAAGCTTACCATATGGAACCCAATATCACTATCTTTTC